CTTTCCAGACGCATTCAAGCACGTCCTTCTGACACGAAAGTTAAAGATGCTGCACTAATGCTTTACATCGACACTGGCACACCCATTCTCTTTTCCCTCCATGCCAGTCCCACACTGTCCCAACCTCTCTGACATATCCAGGGTCATATCCGGACCTCACCTGTTGGCCAAACAGACATACAGCAGACTAACTACTGGCACTCCGTCGCAGGCCGGCTCCAAGCCGCCCCTCTCCAGCCTCTGCACACAGCGCTGCAGGGCGGCGGCCACGGCGGCAGCCTCCTCGCCCTCAGAGGTCGTGTAGTCGTCTGTGAGACAGTGGCGGGCGCGCAGGGTGGCCGGAGAGCCCTCCAGCACCGCCTGGTCTGTGGCGAACACCGACTCCGTCGAGATGCGCGCCCTGCCTGGGATGGCAAGCAAATGAAAGATGCTTTTAACCTGATCTAGATAAGGCCACGGAGTACGATCTAACTGCGGATCAACGCGTCTTTTCTACACATGAGCGATCTAATTGTAACATCGTAAGCCACCATGACCAGGTACTCACTGTCTGACACCGTCAACAAGCAGAGAAGAAGCCCTAATCTTGTTCGAGCGGACATCTTTCTCATCCAGCCTTCGTTCTACTTGGCAACGATATATCGAGCAGTGACACCCGCTGATTGTGAGCCTTCCACTGTCGGGTGACAACCTGCCGGGAACAGTGTCTAAGGTACGGTGCTGCCGGCCTGTGTCAGGACAGCGCACATGTGCGCCCCCCACCTGTACACACAAATCCCACCGGCACGGCAGAGGAGGGAAGGGAGCTATGGTGGAACCGCGACTCGTGAGTCGTGATATTTGCCGATACGTACGTATATACATCGTGATATGTATATCGATGGTATGTGATGGGTGATGGCAATGGGAGAACGGGAAGCTCTGTAAGCCCCGCATGGTCTCAGATACTGTCCGAGCCATAATATGCTTCATGCAACACATCGTAAACAAGTTGAAGCCACGTTCCCTTCCTTGCCGGAAGCCGTGATGCCTCGGGCCTTTTAAACGACAGAAATTAGTTACTAAGTTTGTTCTGCTTCTCATCTCCTGGGGCACATAGCTACACTCAGAAAGCGCCGTTCGAAAGAACGTCAAAATCATGAAGGCACTTCACATTTTTGGTCACTTCAATCATAGGATTATCAGTGGTCATTAAAGGTTGAATTTTTGCTACATTCCTGAGGCAAATTGACATGATTGACTCATCTCCAAAATGTGTAATTTATCGACGTTTCACTTGGTTTGAGGGAACAATTTCATGCTTTCACTGTGTGCTTAGTCCGAAGTTTTCAACCATTGTTGCAAGCCTGTAGCTCTCATTTCAAGGTAATGCCACCCGTTTCATTAAACCAGTCACCAAAACAAATACAAACCAGTATAACGCCTTTTGGGGCGACTAACGGAGCGAGCGAGAGGGTGGGCCTTGCACGTGCGAAATTGCGAGGGGGTACCTCCAACTGACTTGTGCACGGCACCCTACTAACCGGTCTCTAGCGACGTGCCAAATTTGGGCACAATCGGCCCAGCCGTTCTCGAGATCTGGAAGCGGCACCCTGCACGTGCGCACGTGCAAAATGGGTCCCAACTGACTTGTGCACGGCACCCTACTAACCGGTCCCTAACTGTGTACTAAATTTCAGCGCAATCGGTCGAGCCGTTCTCGAGATCTGGAAACGACCCCTGCACGTGCGCACGTGCAGCAGCACCCCAACTCTGGCACATGGATATGCAGTGCCTAGTGGGTGCCTACCTACATGCCAACTTTCAGCGCAATCGGCCAAGTAGTTACCGAGATATTGCAACAATTACAAAACGGACACCTCTTCGTTTTGCACGTGGCACGTGCATAAGGGGTCACCCACATGCATCGGGAATAGTCCAATACTTGGTAGAAGGAATGAAGCTACCCTACAAAATTACCGCGTGTAAATCGGTCAAGTGGTTGCTGAGATATGAGCCTCGCAGAAGCGTGACCACGGCCGGCCGGCCGGCCGGCCGCTCATACTCAGAAATTTCCGTTAATCTAAGGAAAGACTACGCTCGCTTCGCTCGCTCCGTAATAAAAACAGGAGAAAGATAAAACATAGAGAAGCTTAGAGAAACATATATAGATATACATAGCGCAAATAATAAAGCCATAAACACGCTCACTTTTCAGAGTTTAAATTTTTCATATATTACTAAGCCTAATTTGTTTTCCACTCGTGGCACTCGTTGACTATTGTACATGTTTGTCATCACCTTTGTTTTTGCTGTTCTAGGCTCTAGCTCCAACAGAAGAGGAAATGAGGAAAGCACCAGATAACCCCCACTGCTGCTGGATCGAATAGAAGCACCATTGCCTCTGTCCCAATCATTGAAATGGCCCAAACAGGGAATTCGCTCCGTAATTGTGCAATGCTCGCCTGCGATGTCCTCCCAAAGCCACGTACCACGAGCTGAAGCGCCGCCATGGCCACCTTGCCTCCTCTACCGGTCGGATTTGTGTGTACAGGTGGGGCGCGCACATGTGTCCTTCGCCGGCCGACAGACCGGCAGCAATGTAGCCTAGGACTAGTCTTTCCATCTGTTCGCCTCACGGCAGTGGAAAACCTGCGTTTGGTGGATACTAGTTTCATTTTGTTTGATCATATTGATACTGCAAACGGAGGCAGGGCGCATGGCGGCTCGAACGGGATTAGGACTTCTTCTCTATCTGCTGGCGGTATCAAACAGTGAGTAGAGTGCCTGATCATGGTGGTTTTCTGTTCAGATCGCTTCAGTTGAGTCAATGGGACAGAGACACGCACGCCAATTCGTAGCAACATCCTAGGTATTCCGTCCGTGGCTTTGCTCAGTTCAGGTTAGAAGTGTTTTTGCTATTTTGATAGAAATGACGCCACACAATCCTGCTGTTAAAGCTGCTTATTTCGCCAATACTATACATACAGGACGTCAACCTATAAAAATCAATACCTATTCATTGTAGCACTATGGCTATCCAATTATCCAATCACTGAACTCCACATTGATGCCCACCTCAGCTCCCCCTCCCCCTCTATCTTATCATCTCAGGCAGGGCTCGCATCTCGACGGAGTCGGTGTTCGCCACAGACCAGGCGGTGCTGGAGGGCTCTCCGGCCACCCTGCGCGCCCGCCACTGTCTCACAGACGACTACACGACCTCTGAGGGCGAGGAGGCTGCCGCCGTGGCCGCCGCCCTGCAGCGCTGTGTGCAGAGGCTGGAGAGGGGCGGCTTGGAGCCGGCCTGCGACGGAGTGCCAGTAGTTAGTCTGCTGTATGTCTGTTTGGCCAACAGGTGAGGTCGGGATATGACCCGGGAGTGTCAGAGGGGAAGGACGGGACGGGTTTGTGGGTTATGAGAACTTCTGTTGGGTGGGAGGAATGATACAATGCAATCTTCGATGTGATTGTTCTGTGCATCGGTTTTGATTTGGTAAAACGATGAAGCGGCTAAATGTTAACATGAAAAGAAGGAATGAAACCGTGAGCAGATGAGCATTGGAGACAATGAACTATCGTGTAAGCAAGTGCGAACTAACAGATGAAAAAAAAAACACAAGTACCGGTAGTGCCTAAATAAACAAACGAATTTAAAGTCATTTTTTTCAGTTTCACTGATCCGATCCAATAAAAACCAAAACTGTTGTATAGCACAGTCAATGCTACTTTATGTTGGTCTGGTCACTGTCTCACTGGCCACTCACTGGTAGCGGCAGAGCACATGCTCCAGATGCTCTCCCTTCCGCTCCAGGCACAGAACGGCGCGGCTCCGCGCCCACTCCAGCGCGGCCCGGCCAGGGTTGTGCTTGACTCATGAGTCGAGTCAGAAATTTGACTCAACTCTGACTCAAATGAGTCAGATTTGAGTCGAGTCGGATAAAATGTTGAGCTGTTGAGTTGAGTCAGAGTTGAGTCGGACAAAAATATTAAGGTGTTGAGTTGAGTCAGAGTTGAGTCAGTAAAATAACTTTTGACATTGAGTTGAGTCAAGAACATTTAGGAACATGAGTCAGCTGACTCAACATTTTAGAAACAATATATAGTATAAGTTTTTCATTCTCCCCCCGCACCTTAGGCCTGGCCCTGCTGTCGGATTTTTTCACCCCCCCCCCCCGCTCAACAACTTTTTTATCTGAGTCAATTTTGAGTCAACACACTTGACTCAACAAAAAAATTGAGTCAAGTTTGAGTCAACTCATATTTTCATTGAGCCGCTTGAGTCATGAGTCGAGTCAAGGGAAAAAATATGCTCCTTGTTTGAGTCAGAGTTGAGTCAGGGCATTCTGAAGTTGAATGATGAGTCGAGTCGGCAAATTTTTTTGAGTCGAGCACAACCCTGGGCCCGGCACATCTCGGGTCGCACTCGGCGGACTGCACAGGTCACAGCTTCTTTGAGCTCCTGTAAGGTTCCCGGGTTGTTCTTGTACACCTGGTCCTTACGGTGACCCCAGAGGAAGAAGTCACATGGCGTCAAGTCGGGTGAGCGCGCGGGCCAGCTGTGCACCTCTCCCCGTGAGATCAGCCTCTGACCAAAGCGGTCGCGCAGCCATTTCCGGGTGGCGCCGGCCGTGTGCGCGGTGGCGCCGTCCTGCTGGAACCACTGGCTGTCCAGCTGCTGTGTAGCGCCGCCCAGCTTCCGCCTCAGCGCAGTCCAAAACCTGCTGATGACCTGCCGGTACCGCTGTGCGTTAACCCTGTACAGTGGCCCCAGCGCTGTCCTCGAACCAGAAAGGGCCAATCACGCCCCTGCTGCTGATCGCACAAAGCGCAGTGCACTTGGCGCTGTGCAGAGGGACTTCAGCGACGACATCCGGCAGGTCGGTCGACCAGAACCGGAAGTTCTGGGAGTTCACACCTTCATCGAGGTGAAAATTCGCTTCATCGGTGAACCAGACCTGGTAGAGAAAGTCGCCATCGTCGTCGCAGCTCCTCGGAAACCAGCCGCTGTACAGCATTCGTGCCTGTTTGTCGGACTCTGCCAGTGTTTGGTGAACAGACACCTTATAGGGAAACAGCTGACAGTCAGTCCTGGCCAGCCGTTGAGCCGTTGTCTGGCTGCAGCCCAGCTCCTGGCTCAGCCGCCTCAGGGAGTTGTTAGGACTCCGCTGGAGAGCCTTCTGGGTCTTCTCTGCGTTGCCAGGTGTTCTATTTGTCTTCTTTCGGCCGCATCGACCTTTCTTCAGGTTCTCAACACTGCCATGGGCCAGAAACTTCTGCACCAAACTCAAATTAACATTTCTCCATGGTGCTTTCCGGGTATTAATTAACCCTCGCCCGCACATGCCATTTTCCCATCCTAGAACGCACATGGGGGGGGGGGTGGTTGCCACCCCCCCGCGCCATTTCGTTCCTGTTGGAGATAGAGCTTAGCAGTAAAGACCAAAAAGATTCTTTGGGAAGAGACGAATCCAATGATACCCAGTTTTACCTTCTCAGGCCAGTCATTGACCTTCCAGGTCAGGTCAAACTAAAAAATGTTGCTGTTTTGGGTCACCGTTGGATATCAAGTGTGCTGCTTATCAAATACCGATGACGATGCTGTTTTCTGGTGCCAAGCCAGCTAGAACCTCTTTGTCACACTACCCGACCAGAATTTTGCTGCTGAGGTCATTTCAGGTCAAGTTAGGTCAAGGTCAATTATATGTGTTTGTATGTCTGTGTGTGTCTGTGTGTATACTGATGTGTGCACCGATTGTTTTTGGGTCCATATTACATGAAATCATCATCTGAGAAGCTTTTACCAAAAATGCAGTCAAAAAACTTCAAAAAAAGTAAATTCAGCTTGCCTAAAACGCAATTATCTTAGATGACCTAGGTTGACCTTGACCCTGACCTTGACCCCTGTACATCGTCGAACAACATGTTCCATGATAGGTGGGAGGTAAGACTGGCAAAAAAGGCCGAAATCAGGGTGTCAAAAGCTCACAAGCCCCATGGCAAACGCAAGATGTTGAGAATTGGCCATTTGGGTCATGACATGACCTGAAAAACAAGGTCATATCTCCGAAACCAAAAATCACAAAAATTTGAAATTTGCAGTGGACATCAAGAAAGGATAGAGGAGCAGCTATACGAAAAATCAGCCTTCTAGCTCTAAAAATGTTGAGTGCAGAGCAGAAAGACTACCTGGGGGGGGGGGTGGCAACCACCCCCCCCCCCATGTGCGGGCGAGGGTTTTAAAAAGCGCCGATATCTACGTTGCGTTCTGACGATAGATTTTGTCTTAAAATATAAGAGTATGACTTTTGTTTTTTCGTTTCTCCTGTATGGTTGTTTCATGATGACAAGTGATTGAAACTGGCTTCACACAAAATAGCAATGAAAGTGGTTTCAGCACGTGCGCTTTTATTGACATAATTCTACTCACAGCCACCGCCAGAGGGAAATTAAATTCCCTCTAAAAAATAAATGAATGCGTAAATGAATGAATGAGTAAATAAATTAGTGCCTTAATGAATGGTTCAATGAATCACTTAGTTAATTAATATCGGATTTATTTTGTAAAGATGCTTTGTGAATCAAATATTTGTATAAAGTTGAGTAGTTTCCAAATTGGCTTCTTTTGTAACCTTCAAGTGACAGTGCCTCTTGCTAATGAAATTTCCCTTGTCCCTCGCCCGCCGACAGCCTGGGCCAGCTGGACGGACCCTCCACGCCGTTCAACTGGGCCTCGTTCGAACGCTCTCAGCTGGCCTACACGCCCGTGGTTCCCACCAACCTTCTCCTCGGAGACGAAGAGCCGCGCGTGCTCCTCGAGGGCTGCCTGCGCTCCTCAGACGCCCGTCTGACTCCGCGCCAAAGTGCCGTGCACGCCCACAGTTGCTGGCAGCGGACGGTGGCCCGTCAGTGCGACGTGTACCTTTACTTGCACGACCTCATGGACGATCCTGGTCGTTTACGATTGATCCATCTCCTGGCGGACCAGTGTCCGACCAGCCCGAGCAGGTGTCTGGACGCGTTTGGCGCTGTCACCGACCGCTCCTGGGCAGAGTGCAGTGGCGGCATGTACGACGGCGACGACCTGGAGACCCGGTACGCCGCTGAGGTCAGTCGAGTCACCTGTCTGCTGCAGGACTTCACCGACACCGAGACGGGTCTGCTGGACGGTCCGCGACTGCGCCAAGCCAACATCGACAACAGTACAAATGTGCTGAAGCGAAGTAAGATGGATCGTGTCATTCGACAGAATGCCATGCTCCCAGACGGCGGCAGCTTCATGGATAAGCCGTTGACGGTTCACTTTATTCCAAACTATTCGACCGAGGCTTTTGTACGCCAGTGGGCCGCTGGAAGCTCAATATCCTGTAGCTACCAGGAGGCCAACCGACTGGCCTCGCAGTTCCCCGATGGCTGTACGGTGACGGCCTAGGCCGGGCACGAGCTGCAGGCCGGACCGGCGGAGGAGTTGAGCCAGGAGCACCAGGCTACTTAGCGTCTCCACTGGTAACGCTAACTGGCCTATGTGGTATCAGTCACATCATGTTGAGCTATACACGTTTCCTTGGGCTGATATTTGTTTTCTTTGTGAATGTGATTGGTCTATTTGTGAGCATTATGTTTATGTCTGACGAAATCCCATTTGATGATGCTCTACATATTATTTTGAAATACGGTATGCCTATACAGATCATGAATCCGAGTTTTGCCTCTCATATTTATTGTTATAAATGCATGCAGGCGCTGGAGCAACGGGTTCACGACTTGGAAGTTTTTAGATTCTTCAATGTTGCCTTATAGTTAGAACAGTTGAATTGATTGATTTAATTTCTAAGTATAATGGACCGGCACCTACCGTAGCCAATAATAGGTGTATATCTTGGCATGCGTGAGCGGCAAGCCAGTCTATTCTTAACCCTCGCCCTGGCAGGGCATTTTTCATAACACGGCCTGGCAGGGGGGGGGTCGATGTGACCCCCCCCCCCTCGCGATTGGCTCCTATGGCACCTAGAAACACCAAATTTGGTAGGTAGGTGGGTCCGCTGGAGTTCTCGCCCCTGTGCAAATTTGGTTGCTCTAGGTTAATATTTAGGGGGGGTTTGGGGGTATAAATGTAAAAATTTCGCTAAAAACATGTCAAAAGTTTTTCGATTATAACTTTTGATCTATTTAAGATAGAGCAAAAAGAAAAGCACCAGTGAACTCAGCACGTCAAGACGCGTCGAATGGTATACTTTTTACCTTGCTGAAGTGTACTTAAAGTTTTTCTTAAATTTTAAGTGAACTTTAACTAATTAAGTAAGTTCAACTTAACCAAATTGCATCATATCGCATATCATTCGATTCGGCTGATCACAAAGAACACAATGACACCATTTTTAAGCTCTAGCTTCATTATGTGCCAAGTTATTGGCAAAAACGTCATTTGACCTCGGTTGACCTCATTTGACCTGACCCATGGATAAGTACACCAAACAAAGAAGCACCAAGTGACCTGCTGTTAAGTACTGTGGTTTCAAAGCACAAAAGTGATAGAACGAAGCGGATATCTCCAGTATTTTCCGAATTTAGTATTTTCCCATAGGCTTAACATTATGACGTAATGACCTCTAACTGACCTCAGGTCAGTGACCTCAAAAAACCCGAACTATATGTTATACAACCCGGTGAACTTAGCACACCCTGAAAGTTTGAAGGAAATCAGTCAAAAACTGTGAGTTGGACAGGTGCAAACAGAAAATTAAAATTTGACCATGACCTTGTACCGGTTTTTCTGACCTGGTGACCTGACCCAAGGTCACCCAGACCTGAAATTTTTAGGTCATATGTAAAAAGGTTGCCCCATAGGCTGTGCCAAATTTGGCGGCGCTGCGCGCCGCCGTTTTTACGCTATCTTCGAAAAACCTTAGGGGGGGTCGCATCGACCCCCCCCCCTGCCAGGGCGAGGGTCAAGCTTTCCCTTTGATTGAATAAGCTGGTATTATAGAGCAGACCGACACCATGAGTCGATCTCTTCCAACCTGTCGCAGCACATGAAGGTGATAATCCTGCCTGTCAGAGCCAGGGTAGGACACATCTGCAGTTTTCACCCCACCTCTATCCACCTGTATCCACCTGTATTCACCTGTATCCACTGAAGCCGAAGATGAAATCAGTGGTGGTATGCATAGCTTGCTTGCTTCGTTGGGCCAGGCCCTCTCGGTCTAAGCATTGAGGTTTGAGAGTTGAGACCATTTTAGGGCCATGTAATGAAGTGGAGCCATTTGGCTGAGAGTGGCTGAGGCCATCCCTTTGGGACGGGAGTGTATGGTGGGACAGGCCACACAGTCCTAACCGGATAGGCCCGGAACAATATGTGCATTTGTTCTATAGGAGGTGGAAGAGAGAGAGAGAGAGAGAGAGAGAGAGAGAGAGAGAGAGAGAGAGAGAGAGAGAGAGAGAGAGAGAGGGAGAGAGAGAGAGAAAGAGAGAGAGAGAGAGAGAGAGAGAGAGAGAGAGAGAGAGAGAGAGAGAGAGAGAGAGAGAGAGGAGAGAGAGAGAGAGAGAGAGAGAGAAAGAGCGGAAAAGAATTGCTGGAAGGTATTTTCAGTTGAAGATATTTTCCAGGATTGCATAAACAGACTACATCTGCTGGTTCTGGTATGATAACTGATACACTTGATGTAAATAAATGCGCTGGGATGTTCGTCGCCAAATAATCTGCAAACATATTTCGCATTTTGCATTTTTATTTACGTCACATATCGCTCAATAAATAACAGTTCATTAACCATAATGTCATAGCACAGTGGTTCGACATCGCGTTACACAAATGCCGAGCGCACTCGCAACAGCACGATCACTCGCTGTATTCGGGTCCGGTTAAACGGTCCGGTTAAACGGTCCGGTTAAACGGTCCGGTTAAACGGTCCGGTTAAACGGTCCGGTTTAATGGAGGGCCAGTCCGAGGCCGATGGTGCGGGCTCCGCCGTGCCCGTAGCCGCCGTGCCCGTAGCCGCCGTAGCCGAGGGCGCCGTAGGCAATGCCGTGTCCAAGGCCACGGCTCACAGTACGGTCGTACACCTTGGCCAGACCACCGCCGTAGCCGTAGCCGCCGTAGCCGCGGCCGTAGCCGCCGTAGCCGCCGTAGCTGTTGAATGGAGGACGGGGAGAGAAAACAGTCAGTTTTGAGATGCTTAGGTAGCTCTACTGAGCTATACTAATCCTAACTAGCAGCTGATCTTACTTGACCTGAGCTGACCTATGTAGCCTGATCAAAGCTGAGGGAGTTTTCCAAATAACAGCATTGACCTGACCTTGACCTGACCTGAGTTTATCCTATTTGACTTGATCGAGATAAAGTTATTTACTTATCTAAACTGAGCTAATCTGCGCTCAGCTGTACTGAGCTGACCTCAGATCTGACCTGTTCTGACCTGCTCTGACCTGAATCTGACCTTACTATGACCTTACCCCGACCTGACCTACCTGTAGGTGTTGGGATGCGCCACAGTCTGGCCATAAGTGCTGCCTCCATAGCCATATCCGTTGTAACTGCATGAACGAGAGTGGAGACGGGGTCAACGCGGGGTTGATGTGGGGTCAACTTTAGCTCTGCGTGGGTCAACCTGGGGTCAACATTAGGTTATAATGGGGTCAACATGGGCTCGAGCGGAGTCAACACAGGGTAACCACAGAGTCAACTTATATTGGAGGCTCAGCGCAGGGTCAACGTTGAGTCATTGCTATCAGATTTGGGAGAGACTTCGGGGTGCGTTACTTTGTCAAATATCACCCGCTGACTTGAACACAATGGACAGTGCCTACATCTGTTTTTGGAAGCAGCCCTGAATGCCGATCCCCACCCAGCTAAGAATCAAAATTATGTGGCCGAAACACGCAGTAACAACATCCCTCGACTTTCTCCAGCCCAGTTACTTTATGACAGTCTCCCCTCCCTCAACTGCTTTTTTATACTTCTTCCCGAGTAAGAATTACACTCACGTCTCAACGTGGGTGTGGCTCTGAGCAGCGCCATAGCCGCTGGCAGCGGCCACAGCAACGCACATGGCGATCAGAACAAACTGAAACAACACGGGAGAACAATGTAGAACAATGTAGGTGAGACCATGTAGGTGAACAATGCAGGGGAGAACAATGCAGGTGAGACGGGTGGGGGGTGAGAAAATACCGTGTGAAAGGGTGTATGGTGTGAGAACATACTGGGTGAGATGGGGGAGAATAACCAACTTGAGCATGCCTGTTGAGAAGGCGTATGTTCGAAGAAATAGTGAAATGGACTGACTTCGAATAGAGTAGGCTGAGCGACTCGGTTTGGAGCCAATGAATAGAGGTGATTCTGAGTTAACCAGGTTCGAAGATTGGCCAGTGAATTCAACTTATTGATTGCTAAGTTCAATAAACTCATAGATTTTTATATCCTCAGGTATTCACATGCTTTATCAGGCGACCAGAGCCTGACATATATTTGAGGTACACAACTCATTTCGAGGACAGGGATGCATTTTGTTTTCGCCCTATTCGCTCCAAGTGGCGCACTATAATCGATCAGCTAGACTGGGTGAGGTTTGTTCCTCTCACTTACCTTGATCATGGCTGGTTGTTGGTTGTTGTTTGGCGGCTGAACTGACCGGTAGCTGTGTCTCCAGTAGCCGACTCCGTGGTTTATATACCAGGTGTGTACCGGCCACCGGGTGTGGTCACCGATCCGGTTTGAGGTCACCCGGGTCAGGGGAGGGGTGAGGGGTGGGGGGGGGGGGCAGGGGGCAATGGAGCCACGGTTGGTTATAGCGGAGCGGATGCGTGATGAATTGTAGTCATTGTGTTAACCCTCGCATGTGTAGGGGGGGTCGGATGGACCCCCCCCCCATGGTTTTTCGCGAATAACTCGCGTAAAAAGCGGCCGATCGCGACGAAACTTTCAGTACCCTCGCATTGATCAATTTTACACCTACCCTGAAAATTTCATGACCCTGACCCAAATGACCTTTGACCTGTGACCTCTTTTCCGAGACCATGTTTGGCCGGAATCGGGATTTCGCGTATGTCGGCTCGCACTAGCCGCGTGTTTGCAAGCTTTTCGTGGTTTCAAACGTTCAAACATGTGATTTGATGTTACTCCCGTGTGTGTCAAGGTCACCTGAGGGTCAGGTCAGGTCATTGACCTTTGGTGACCTCGGGTGACCTCGGGTCACTTTTTCGAGTTTTACATGTTTCTAGGCTAGTTTTTGGAGCTGAATTCGAATTTAGCAACCATTTGAACATTTACGAAGTAGTTTTGGTGACTTCGTAACATGTTACGAAGCTGTCAGAGGCGGTTGACACGTACTACGAATACCCGTCACGACGCCTACTGGTTGACCTGACCTGACCTGACCCGACCCGGTCTAAATGCTTCAAGACATCATCTGTGATCAAAACTAACACGATATTCGTGATCAGCACCCCGAAAAACCCCTTAGCAGCCACACTTTACGACTTTCTAACAGGTCCCGATTTTCCCGACTTTGGGTCATTGACCTGACCTGGAAGGTCAATCAATGACCTAGGACCTTAAAATTGGGTATCATCGGCTTCCTCTCGTCACGGGCAACACGCTCGTTTTTTCCGCGAAGCTCTAGCTCGATCAGGGGCCAAACGGCAAGGGGGGGGGGGGTCCAACCGACCCCCCCCCCTACACATTAGAAGCTGGCAAACGCCGCACACATGCGAGGGTTAAGATACATATTAGACGTTTTCACGAAGGGTTATCCGGCGAATGCACCTGACTTGATCAAATCTGCACCTAATTTCTTTTACAGCAAATCTCTTCATTTTATGAATTTATTTCAGTGTTTTAATCGATGATGCTCTCGGATAATATGACAAAGGGATTTTTCATGGCTCCGAGTGGAAGATAAAAATTTCTTACACACCGAATCGAAAGATTCATTGGGCAAAGACACAAGAATAAATCGTAATGAACCATTCGTGGCAATAACTTCCCCGTCCGGTAAAAGGTCACTTGATCCTTTGCCGGCCAGGACAAGCACCCGTTCTCGAATTTATAGCATTAAATAATTTAAGAATTTATAGCAACTAATAGTGTGAAAGAAATAAAATTATCCATGGTCTGCCGGGAAGTTGAAAAATTATCAGCGTTCATGCCAGCTTTTCACTCGGGACCTTCACTCCCTCGTGAAAAGACTAACACACTCGTGCTGAAAAAATTTTATCTTCCCGGCAGACCCATGCATAATTATATATATATCTTTAACCGAGCGACGCAGGAGCGAGGTTTTTCTGTAACACGTGAGGAAAAGATATCCGATCATCCACAACTGAGCCATGAAGAATCCCATATCTTTCTATGTTGAGCAGAGGTCTATGTGTTGAGGTTTATTCTTAATTAATTAAATATTATGTTTAAATGCATTCACTAATGACAAAAAGTAGTTTTTTATTTCATAAGCTTTATGCACAATCATTAACCCGCGCCCCGCTGGGCTATTCAGCCATACGCGCCCTGCTGGGGGGGGGGGGGGGGGCAGATTCTGCCCCCCTGTCTAACTTCCGAACCGATGGTCGTAGAAAGACGGGGAAAACGGCAATCGAAAGCTCTCAACAAGACGGATCTTAAGAGCCCAAATTTTTTTGCTTAAGTAGGTCAGAGGTCAGGTCAAGGTCAGGTCAAGGGTACAAAATGCAAGTTTCTACAGTATCGGCCTTGTACCGTAGTTGCCGAAGAATGGACTGAGACTGATTGCCCAAAACGTGTTCTTAGACTACCAAGCCAATATTCGTTGCATACAATGTCATTCAAAGGTCAAGGTCAAGGTCAGGTACAGGTCAGGTCAGGTCACCCAAAACAAAATATAGAAAAGGGCATGTGCGACACATGTTTTACTGGTCATTTTACTCATAGAATTCAATAGGCACACTCAATAAGTGATATGGACCACCTCTGGATGAATTTCAGGTCGAGGTCAGGTCAAGGTCAGGTCAAGTGAGGTCAAATTTTGAAGTTGGTTGTTAAGGCCTAAAAAGGTGTCTATCTGATGCAGTTTTTCACGGCGAATCGAATGGTGCTATTTTTAGTTCCGTACGAGGTCTAGAACTTCAAAAAAATCATTTTTTTTTCAAAAAATTTGTGTGTCGTGACGTCATAAAATTTTGAATAACTCCCACATTTTTGAACCGATTCTTCTAAAAATTGGTATGTAGGTGCACATAGACCACTTCTCTGACATATATTCCGGTTTTTTCGATACACTCAAAATTTTGGATTTTAAAATTATTTTCCCAAAAAAAGTCAGTTTTTTGAAAAAATTTGGGCCAATATCCAAAATTTTCAAAAATCCGAGATAACCATTTGATAGACAAAGTAGAATCACGCATAACCTTTTTTGTTACGTCTTGATTCCTTTTAGAAATGAGGATGTTAGCGGCGTTTGAAATTTTGCCGTTTTTGAGGCGAAAATGGCGAACATGACGTCACTATAACGTCAATTTCTCAAAACTTTTCCGACAGATTTCGCTCAAATTTTCAAGGAACGTGTCAAATTGATGTATGATAAGGTACTGAAAGTTTGACGTCGCTGGCGTAACGCGTTTAGACGTTATTGGCGAAAAACGGGAGGGGGGGGGGGCAGATTCTGCCCCCCCAGCGGGGCGCGGGTTAAATATGGCTCGGTTATTGACACATGCCGTCACTTGAACTCCTGATTTTTCGCTATGAACCCCCGAGACCTTATATTGCATCTTAGAGAGATGCAGGGATAACAAATTCTCATCTTTGCATCTCAGAGGAGGGCGAGATAGAAATATCTCTGCACTCTAGACCCAATGGCAAATTAACCGGCCCCCGGTCAACAGACATGGTAGCCCAAATCTAGTCGGATATGAAAATTCTTCTAAATCCATAGACTTTAATGCTAAATTGACTATATTTGAGAGGGTTTTATGAAGATACATGACCAGATACAGAAAAAAGCGAGATGCTATCTTGTAGATTAAATCGTCTACTATTCAACTCATAGCGGCGACGCGGCTATGGAAGGTTAGGACCCTGCCCGGGCGCCACTGAACGTGACCGGAGCAAAGGGAGACGGGGGTCGGAGACAGATAAATCACCCCGCCGACAGACGCGGAGCAGACCCTGACTAGGGGTGGTGCGAAGGGGAGTGTAGGAACGGGCGCGCCGCTGGCAGCAGAGCCGAGAGGCGCGAACGGCAGTCGTCGACTGCGACGGACGGCGAGTGGAGCAGAGAGTGGGCGAGAAGTGAGCTAAGGAATCCGTGTGGAGTGCCAACGGCTACGAGGATTATCCGATCACGCACTCCTTAACGCCGACATGGCCGCCGGCGAGTGGAGCGGAGAGCGAGCGAGAAGGGAGCCAGGGAAGCTGTGGGGAGTACCAACGGCTACAAGGATTCTATGGTCAGGCACACTAACGCCGGCACGGCAGGTGAGGCGTATCGAGCACGGCTCGGGGGTACGTACAGCGGAGTGCGGTTCCTTGGCGGCGACACCACGAGGATGGTTGCCCGGCGACTGACGCGGCGCCACCATGAGGATGGTTCCCAGGCGACTGACGCGCATCTATTCAGAGGCATACTAAGCGCACACACAATCGTAAAGGAAACCGGGGAGCCTGGTAGGCACGCTTTGAAGGGTCGTGCAACGCGGCACCCCAACCTGCGACGCGATACACACAAAACACCTGGTTCCGGCCACCCTACAACTCATGCACACACATCAGGTCCGCCGCCGACCCCTCGGCTACTCTGCAACTGCAATGCGTCCGACGCCCCGGCTACTCCGCACTGCACATACATCAAGCCCGCTGCCGACGCCTCGGCTACTCTGCAACTCACGCACATAAATACTCATGCACATGCATCAGGTCCGCCGCCGACGCCTCGGCACGCACATACATCAGGTCCGCCGCCGACGCCTCGGCACGCACATGCATCAGGTCCGCCGCCGACGCCTCGGCACGCACATGCATCAGGTCCGCCGCCGACGCCTCGGCACGCACATGCATCAGGTCCGCCGCCGACGCCTCGGCTACTCTGCAGTAGAGATGTCCTCGGATACAACTTTTCGGTATACCGATACCATACTGATACCAACTCGGTACTTGCTATTTGATTCCTAATGTGTTCGGTATTTTGTTGGTATAATGCACCCTAGGTTGGTACTTGGTTTTGTATCGGTATTCCGATTTTCCGTAGTCGACGTCCTACTCTGCACCGCACATACATCAGGTCCGCCGCCGACGCCTCGGCACCCACATGCATCAGGTCCGCCGCCGACGCCTCGGCTACTCTGCAGTAGAGATGTCCTCGGATACAACTTTTCGGTATACCGATACCATACTGATACCAACTCGGTACTTGCTATTTGATTCCTAATGTGTTCGGTATTTTGTTGGTATAATGCACCCTAGGTTGGTACTTGGTTTGGTATCGGTATTCCGATTTTTCCGTAGTCGACGTCCTACTCTGCACCGCACATACATCAGGTCCGCCGCCGACGCCTCGGCACCCACATGCATCAGGTCCGCCGCCGACGCCTCGGCTACTCTGCAGTAGAGATGTCCTCGGATACAACTTTTCGGTATACCGATACCATACTGATACCAACTCGGTACTTGGTATTTGATTCCTAATGTGTTCGGTAATTTGTTGGTATAATGCACCCTAGGTTGGTAC